ATTAGTTGATCCATATAAATGTCATACACACACGCAAGACTGTAGATAAGTTCCTGATATATTAATTTCACACAGTGAGGATAATGGCATTTCTTCTGACAGCTTGATTAAATTTGTAAAAAATTCCTAGTGAAAAACAGTCATTGCATTTTTTTGTCAAGCGCAATTTAGCTGAAAGAGAAAAGGAATTGGAAAAATCAGGCTTGTACTAAAAAACTATGTGTGAAAATTTGCACTGGTTTGCTGTTTTGTTATTTGGTAAAAGGAGTAAACAGAGGGTTCTTCATTGCCCTGTCTGCTTGGTGGTGCTGATTTTCTTAATCTGAAATTGCAGTTGCCTCTATTGGGAAGAACAGTGATGACCAAGAAAATGAAATACTTAAGAACACTGAAGTCAAGAGAGAAGCAGGAAATAATTTTGAATCAGTTGAAATATTTTACATTTCTGGTATATTCTGGGATCAATGTCTTGTCAGAAGCCACAGTTGTTCCTTGGCTGCCCTCCCCCCAGCTCAGCTCGTGCCTGTGCTCACAGTCAGGCTGGGACACGAACACCATCTGCCCCCAGGGCTCTCCTGGGCTGGGGGGTCCCTCCTGCAGAGGTTGGGGTGTACCTGGCTCCTGCCCCTCCACACTCCTTACCCCTGGGAGCCCTGGGAATGGATACCCATGGATGCCACGGGAGATTGGGTGCTCCCCATGTGCAGTGAGTTGCAACTTGCACTTCGTCATTTCACATCCCCGAGGAGCCCGTGCTGAGCTTCTAAATTCTTACACTCCTGTTTTCTCACAAATCCCATTTGGAGTCTGACCCTCAGAGCATGACTTCATTTGTGTTTTCAGTAAGAACTGTTTTGTTCAAATCTTTGGGTGCTTTTGAATTAGTTTCTTTTTTTTTTTTTTTCTTTTTTCCCCTGGAGGGATAAACCACTAATTATACACGAAAATTGTACCTCAAAGATCCATCTTAATAATATAATTGTAGGAGCAAAGCAACTGGTGTGATTATGTGCATCATTGCACTTTTCAGCCATTAACCAGCTTTTCTTGGTTAATGGAGTTAGTAAAACCTAGAATGTGCTTTGCTGGAATACATCCAGTGCAATCTCATTATCACCTGCGAGCCTTTATAATTGGGGCGATAATGTGCGAAATGTTATATGGCTGAGAAACGGGACGGGATTAAAGGAGGGCAAAGTCCTGCTCTCAGACACACATGACAGACCTGGGGGTTTTGGTGTGTGTTTGTGGAATGCCTACAGCCCCAGGTGGAGTTTGGGGGGTGGCATTTTGAGCAGGAGGAGGTGCACTTGGAAGGGGTCCAGCAGCAAAGCAATGAGAGCGGGGGCCTCTCAGGAAAGGTGGAAAGGATCGGTGCTGTCGAGTCAGGAGGAGACTGTAGTGAGGCATGAAAATGGTCTTAAATGCCTTCAAAGGAGGGAATAATCTGTTCTCCATGATCCTGTTGGATAGGACACAGAGGAATGGGCTTAAAGCACCGCGAGGGCAGGTTGGGTATCAGGGAAACAGAGGATGGGTGACCAAGGACTGGCTGGAACTGCTCGGGCCAGAGTGCATCAGAGGATTCTCTGCTGTTGGCAGGCACCAGGGGTAGGTGGGGGAGGTGGACTGTGCAATGCTCTTGGCCTCAGTGGTGAGGAGATGGAGCACCAGTGTCACCACGGTGTCACGTTATGGCTCAAGGCACGTGCAGGTGAGAGGCTCTTAGCAGAGAGACAAGAGATCCACTTGGTGCTGGCACAAACACAGACCAGACCTGCCAGGAGGATCTGTGATCAGAACTATACTCTCACCTGTTACACACTTGGAATTGCTGCCAGGACTGCTGATAGAAGGGAGAGAAGGCTATCAGTGTTAAAAAAAGGGAAGCTTTACTGTTTGTTCCCTTGGCTGATACAGGTTTAAGGCTGCTTCTGTTTGCTCTTGTTGGAGTTTCAACATGTCTCTTTAGGGAAAAAAAAGCATCCAAATGTTATTCAAAAAAAAGCCTGTAATGAAGAGTCATCCTGCCTGCTTCAGCTCTGGCTTCGGTAATAAATTCATTATTTGCACTGGTAACCACGTGCCCCATCTTTCCAGTCAGAACTTGTCTGTTTTCAGTGTGAAGGGTTTCCAATGCTAATTTAGGGCCCTGATCTGAACATTTCATTCTCCCTGTAAACACTGATAGTCTTTAACCAAGTCATCCCTAAACCTCATCTCTTTGCAAGCTAAATAGATTGAGATCCTGGATCTGTGGCTGTAAAGGCTGCTTTTTCATCCTTCATATTCCTCTCTGAACTCTCTGCAACTTGTCAGCATCCTTTATGAATTGTGGGCTCTAAATGTACTGGCCCTGCAGTGGGAATGACACCAGTTACACCAGGAGCACAGAAAGCTTTGCATCCTTTCCTCCAGCACTACCCTCAGACATTGTGTACAACTGAACGGGAGCCTAAAAATAGGCTCAGACCAAAGGTTGGTCTAGCTCAGCATTCTGTTTCTGACAGTAGCTTGTAGTGGGTGGATACTGAAGGGTGGTATTTCCCTGCATAGCTTCCCCTTATCTTTTAAAAATAAAGCCCCAATCTGAAATTCCATGCAAAGCCTTTGGTATTCGTGTGTTTCTGGTGTCTAAAAACAGACAGGTCTGCTACGCCTGCAGCTTTTCAGCAGTTGTATCAAGTGCTGCCCTAGGAGTTAAACTGCAAACCAGAAGATTTGTGTCTTTGCTAAGAGTCTGGGAAGGGATATTTCTAAATCCCAGCAGGGCCCTGAGAAGGCAGGGCGAGCACTGCGGTCCAGAGGGAAGGGCAGCGTGTCCCTGCTCCGAGGGGAGCATCATCAGCAGGATGGCTGGAGAGGCTGCCCTGACAGCCCTGCTGCACTGCCAGGGGCTGGCACCCCGAAAATGCAGACCTGGGGCTCTGCATGCACCGCTGGAGCTCTGGCAGCAGCTGCCTGAGTGCCAGGGAGCAGCTCCTGCCTGTCCTTAGCCCGGCCTCCCCATCCGTGAGCTTTCCACGAACCACCGCGATCCCCAGATCCTTTGGAGCATCCCTGACTCCCAGGACACATCCCTGCCTCTTGTGAGTGTGGGGAACTCAGCCTGGCCCCCCTGAACTGTGTGGGACTTCCTTGCCTCCCCTTGGCCAAGTCCTTGCCAGCGAAAATCCTCTCCCTCGGTTGCTGCTGCGCCGTGTTGTGTCATCTGCAGCCTTGTTAGAACATGATTTCATGTTTTCTTCCAGGAAGGATGGCACATAGCTGAGAACAGATCACCATGGAGCTTCTTGGAAACTCCTGGGTGATGATTCCTTGTTTCCAGCTGCACTTGGAGCTTTGTCAGCCCGTTTCCAGGTTAGAAGCTGGGCACAGGTTAGTTCTGGGCCGTTGCAGTCTCTCAGGCCGTGCAGTCTGTTGGGTTGGGTGTTGGGCAGCACTTTGTGGCATTGATGTTGGTACACATGTCAACACACAGATAGCAGACACCGAGCCAGCTCAGCAGAACGTGCTTGCTGTAGGCACAGGCCCTGTGTTTCACAGTCACAGAATGGTTGGGTTGGAAGGGACATTAAAGATCATCTTATTCCAACCACACTGCCACGGGCAGGGACACCTTCCACTACACCAGGTCGCTCCAAGCCCTGTCCAGCCTGGCCTTGGACACTTCAGGTGTAGGCACTGTTGTCTCCCTACAGCCCCCATGCAGGATCCAGAATGAAAGGGTGGGCATTTCGAGCCATTCCAGCAGCAGACTAAGTAAAATAAAGTATAATTCAGTGTCATGGAATTTCGTTTATGAAACTTTCGTGGAAAAAGCAAGCTTTCCAAAGAGACAGCCAGTGCTAGAGGGAGAAATGGATATGTTTGCATTTCAAGCCATTGCTGGCATGCAGATAGTCAAGGATGTACTTGTTAGTGGCGGGCAAGACCAGTGAGAATGGAATGTGTTTTACTGCTGGGGAAGGAGGTCAGAAAAGCCACGGTTTTAAGGACCTGAAAGTGAGAGCAGAGACAAGTGAGGACACAGAGAATGTAGAGATGAGGCACAGAGGAAAAAAACATTTTAAAATGCTTAAATCCCATTTTCTGAACAGGCAGAACAATCGATGCTCCAGGCCACTCGGAAGGTGTAAATGTACACGCACAATTGTAACTGCAGATTTACTGTATGTCCCTGCATCTTGATCCTTCAAAAAGACAAGCTCATGACATACTGGTCTTGCTGAAATGAATGACTCCTGCTACTTTTATCCTTATTTATTCATTTATTGTAATCATATTATTGAGAAAATTGAGATGCAAAGAGCCAGAGTGACAACACATTCCACTTTTCTTGTCTTGTTGGTTTGGGCAAAAAGAGCAAAAATCAGAGTCATTTCTTCCCCCTGCTAGGGGAGGGTGAGTGACGTGCCCTCGAGCTGTGCCTTGCTTCCTCTGGTGTGTGAAAGGAAGGTGGGGACCCCCAGGGTGGGGAACCTGCCCCGGGATTTTATCATTATTGGGGTTTGGTTTCTTCTTTTGGTATAAATATTGTATCCATTTGTAGCCTTTTTTCTTTTTTTTTCTGATAATTTAACAATTCTGGGTGCTCAGATTTTTTGATTGAGCAGCTGACAAAAGCAAAAATGTCTGTTCATAAGCATGTTCAGTTGTGAGATTCTGGAGGGATCATCTTTGACTTTCTCTGCAGTTCTGTCCTGGTACCAAATTATTATTGCTTTCTGGAAGAATATGAGTGCTCTTCCCTTTTGGAATAAATAATAAATAATAAATAATGGCCAGTCTTCGCGAGCGAAGATCCGGGGAAGGTCTTTCCACCTTCCAGCCTGCGCATTGGATTTTTTAGGTGAGACACAGTGTGCGCGGAACTGAGCCCACCCTTTAATCCTAAGGTTCATCTGCCGGGGCCAAGCGAGCTTGGACGGTGGCAGCGAGGTCCTCAGGACGTAGGTGGGTTGCCTTTAAGGGCTAACGAGCCCCACCTGCCCGGGAGTGGCCCTGACCGGGAATCGAACCCGGGTCTCCGCGGTGGTAGCGCGGCGCCTTTACCCCCTAGACCACCAGGGGCTCCTTTGGAATAAATAGAATGAAAATAAACACCTTCATTTCTCAAACTAATAAATTACTTTTCTCTACATTTAACACCCAGATTTTATAAAAATTGAAGTTGCATGCTACTGAAAGCCAATATTATCAAACTGATTTTATGCAAGGTTAAAAAATAGCAACTGATGGCATCACTAATACAAGGGTAATAAAAACTGAACAGTGCTATGATTTAGTTGGATTTTTCTTTAAATTTATGATGCTTCTGAGAGCCTAGATATGTATTACATGTGTGCTGGAACCAAAATGTGCCCTTTGAAAACTATAGATTTGTTAGCCTTTATTGAAGTAGGAAGCATTTCACACACGTGGAATTCATCAGTATTTGAACAACAGTTTCAAAACCTTATGGTTGGTTCAAAATGCTTCTCAGTGTTGTTTCAGAGCTGTCAGAACCATAAAGCTCGAGTGCCTTGGCCTTGTTGAAATAAAACATCGAAACCCGCTCGTTTTACCATTTCTGATTTTTTTTTTCCCAGCAACTTTGAGGCATTTTAGAAGTGTCACCGCTTTATTTTGACACGTGCCGAGTTTCCCCCATCTCTAGACATGTTGTGCCGTGGCTGATGAGAACCTCCCAGCGTAAATGCTCTCGTGCAGGACCCAGATGGTTTCGTTCAGGCGGTGATTTCGGGGGTGGCCGTGGCTGTGGTGTGGAATGTTGGTGCAGTGACAGTGCCTGCAAAACAGGGACCAGCAATGAGAGAGGGTTTCATTCATCTGCAAATGAAAGGAGAGGTGAAATCCTTCCCAGAACAGGGTTACTTCTTATTAGTGGAATTTTATCAAGTACCAGCAGCCCTTTTTTTGTAACCGTGACCACTTAAGGCAGCAGACAGAGCCACTTCATTGTTCACAAAACCCCACTGGAACTCAAGATGTTCAATGTGCTTTGTAACAGAACGATATACGAGGGTCAAAGCTACTGTAAAATGAAACAAACAGAAATAATTAATAATTAATAATTAATGGTTCTTAAATTCTGAGGCTCTCATGAATGTGGTTATGGTGTCCTTGACTTACCGTGACTCAATTTTGCCAGTGACACCACGCTAATATTTTAATGTATGAATCCATAGTTGAACTGTCTGATCCGTGCTGGACTGTCTAGGTGGTGGTGACTGGTTTTCACTGGTGTTTCTTACTGGCTCACTCCATCCCTCCCCTTCTCCCCATTTCCTTTCAGACTCATGCCAGGTAAAACATAACCACGCTTTCAGCATTTCAAACTTTTTAAAACAGGACAGAGATGTTCAAAAAAATCCATCTCATCTTTAATCTGCTGCTTGGAGAGATCCACCCCCAGAAGCACTATATGGTGTGGAAAACAGCACCCAAATCTCTGAGATTTTTATTAGATGTTGCCTGAAATGCTGTCCAAGGGCAAGCTTTATACCCCTTGCTTGCTAGATGCAGACAGCTGCACCTACTTGAAGGAGGTTGTTTGTTTTGTAAAATATTCTTCATAATGAGAAAAGAGATTGTGGGTTGGATCTTTGAGATGTTTCATATGGTATTTTATGTATCACTGATTTCGATGTCTTTGCAAAACAACAAAAATATTTTCCCATGGAGGCTTCTGTTGTTTTCCTTCCCCGATTGCTAGCAGGTTAGGAAGAGATCAGATGTATTTTTATCTCATTGTAGAGAGGAGACTTCCATGGAAACCACGCTGGATACTCCAGGGAAGCCTGTCAAATAGTTTAAGGTCAGAAATCAAGCTGCATTTTGGGACAAGGAGCAGTGAGGCCGGGAGCAGAGTCTGGAATTCTGGCCGCCCGTCCAGCTGTGCTGCTCCATCTGTCTGGGGCAGGTGCCGCTCTCCCCTTTGCAGTGACCATTCCATAACAACCTGCCATTGCTCAAGCAATTTTTCTGCAGCCACAGTTTCACTGTTAAGTCCTGCAGAGGCAGCCCCAGAGGTGCCCACGCTGGCAGTGGGGTGAGCGTGGTTCGCAGCACGTCGGCAGCGCCGGCCGTGGCCGTGGCCACACTGCCCTCCTCCCTTCCCCTGGCCCTTGGCCCACAGAGAGCCCTGGTTTTGTGTGCAACCATAATATTTTTGTTCTGCGGCTGCAAAAAAAAAAAAACCAGGCTAATCCCAGGACAGTGGGAGTCCTGAAGTGGTTCATTTACAGGGGAAAAAATCAGAAGTGAGTGAAATACAAAAATCTGGGTTGGCTTCTACTCACTCTGTGGAAAACCAGGAGATAACGTTCATAAACAAGGAGGAGAGAGATGTAGCAATAAGCCAGAATGAAAAAACCCACCACTTTGAGGCAATTTAAAGCAGAGAGAACTATATTTCTGAGTCAGAATGATGGGAGAACAGCAAAAACTTCTGCACGGAAGTTTCACTTGGTGCACTGTGACATTTACTGTGGAACCGTGTGGACTGGAGAAAGTTGATTTTGTGTTGGTTTCACTGAGGTAACACAGTCTGCCCATGGGCTGGGGTTGCAGCAGGGCATCTGCTCAGCCCCTCAGGGCAGCTCCAGTTTACCGATTTCTAGTTAGTGATTTGCTTACTCCTCTTGTTTGTTTGTGACTTTTTCCTGGCAACAGTGGAGGGAAAATGTCATTTCTCTGTTTCTTTCCGAAGCAAATTAGATAAAGGTGACATGAACTGTTGGAAGTGCCCAGTGGATTGAGTGGTGCCTGACAATTCTCACTGCTGGATGGAAGGGTTTGGCACTGTCTGCATGAAGGAAATCCCTGTTGCTGCAGGGTCTACCTTCAGTCTTGGGGCAGGGCAGCACCTTCATGTCCAGCTGCAATGTCTGTTGGCATAAGTATGCAAATACCAGAGAGAAATGGGGGAAAATACACTTTTCCTGCCACGCTGATGCCTGAGCATCTCTGTCTCTTCAATTCATTTCCTCCCTGCCTTTTAAAGTGGGGAAAGAGATGAAAGATGGACACACAAGCCCAGGCAGCAGTGTGGTGCCCGAGGGTGGCAGCGAGGGAACAGCTGCCCCTTGGTGCCCTGTGTGGGCATGAAATGCTTCCTGACACCCAGCCATGCTGTGCCTGGAACAGCTGCTCTGCTTGCTGGCTTCTCCTTCCTGATGCTTTCCAAGCAGACTGCTGGTGGGTAGGATGGCAGGGCAGAGGGAAGCACTGAAGCCTCATTTGCTGCAGGTGCTGCTGAGACCCAAAAGACCACTGTGATCCAGCAATTCCACGCAGGCTTTTCAACCTAACACTGCAGGGCTTGCTCCAATTTTAGTCTTTGCATTTTGCAAGTGTTGCTGTGACATTCATCCCACTAAAACCCGAACCTGCTGCATCCTCCTGTGAGAAAGTGATTTTTGATCTCGTTTTTGTGGTGGGGGACTCCTAAGGTAGAACACGGTTATGGAATTTGTTCATAGTCGCCTACTAGGGCTGTGAAAGAGCCAAGAACAGGTTTGTTTCCCCATGGTGGGCCTTAATCCCAAAAAAAGAGAAACCCTTCCACTCCAGTGAAGCACGTCACGTCGGGTAGCTGCTTTTGCCTGTGTGCATTAGTCCTGCAGTTCACAGAGCTCCCTCATTAAACAGTCACATGCTGCAGACTGAGTGCCAGGCCGTGTGTTTGCAGGCTGGGAAGGCGAATGCTGGCATGGAAAAGCTCAGCTTTCATTAGGCACTGTCTGAAATCAGCTCCTCTCACTGGAGGGAACGTGGAAACGGCGAGACCTCAAACAGAGGGGTTTGGTGCTTGGGGTGTGCCCGGGGATGTGGCTGCACCACACACTGTCCTGGCTCTGCTGAAGCCACCAGCAGCCTCCCACTGGCTGGGAATCTATTTCAGCAGAGCCAAGAGAGAGCTGAAACCGCCGAGCACACAGCTACTGACAGCCAGTAAATAACAATGCCCTTTGGAAACAGTAAATGAATAAAACACGTTTGACCTTCGCTGTCCTCAGGGAGCTTTGTGGTCCCCAGGTAGCAGGAGTTCAGGTGTCACTGTCAAAGTGTTTATAATAAGTGATGGGCTGGTTTTGAAATATTTCTCCTCACATTACTGAGCTCCTTTCATTAGCAAGTGAGCAACGTGTATTTTCCCTCTCCGGTGCCCTTTGCCAGCACATCTTCCCACTGTGCCTCACTTTCTTCTGACTCCCTTTTCAAGGCCAGCTTGAGGACCTGGTTTTCCACTGCTTTGGGAATTGTGCCCACATCTGTGTCTGCATTGGTGTGTGCATTTCTCCCTCTGCCTCTCCCCTGGGTTTGTCAGCAGCGCTGGGCACAGCGGGGCTCTCTCCCTGCTCTGGAGCGAGAGGTGACAGCAACCTGTGCCTCTGCAGAGCTCTGAACTGCCCCATCAGTCCAGGAGGTCTGCACAGCCCTGGGGCTCACCTTGCACACAGGACAGAGGGCCAGAATCGTCTCAGTATCTCCTGTCTTCTGTGTGCTACAGAGCAGTGATAGCGCTGGGAGTCTGACCGTGTTCAGGGAGTGGAGGAAAATAACTCAAACGTGAAAGGAACATGTCTTAAAATGAGCATTTTCCTGGGTGGATTTGCTCCTCTGATTCATTGCTCCAGTGCAGGCTTTCAGCCTCCCCGGAGCAGCTCCTCGTCCACTCATTTTTGCTCTATTAATAAACACGCACGAGCACTTAAATGGAATAATGTACCTCGTGGAAAGGGAGAGAAAGAAAGCAACACCACTTGCCATCCCCGTGGGAGAAAAAAAACTGCACAGAGAAAACAGTGCCATTCCAGTGGGTTTTTGTTTACTGAAATATGTTTGTTTCTCGGGGCTGTGAGGGGCAAGGGCAGTTTATAAACTCCTCTTGTTAAAGGTACTCAACATCTTTTCCCCCCAGACCTTTCCTTTTCTCTCTGTCTTCATTCCTTGTTTCGTTTCACATCTGAGTCAAATCTAGTACAATTTTCTAGTGCTATTTTGTTTGAGATGGGGTTAAATCAGTGTTTTACATGGAAGCTGGGTCAGGATCAGAATCTCACAACA